CTCTCTCTCTCTCTCTCTCTCTCTCTCTCTCTCTCTCTCTCTCTCTCTCTCTCTCTCTCTCTCTCTCTCCCTCTCTCCATCGCAGATAATCAATCAAATGATCCAGGAAAGGCGATAGAGCATAAACCAACCGTCCTTTATTTCCCACGTCGAACAGGGCTTGTAACTTCAGCCTGATGGGATGTCGACTGCCTTCAGCATATCCCGTGTTTAAAACATTTAAACATTCAAAGCTTTTTTCTTCGTCTGAAGTTAATTATCATGTCCTCTCTCACTCGTTATCCGATTTCCTTGTGTCCTTCTAATACCAAAGCTTGTAGATCTGTCTGTTTATTTATTTATTCATTTACTCAATAGAGAGGAAATAGAAGGAAAGGGGAGGAGGATAAGCCAAAGGTGAAACATAACGAAAGACAAGGCGAAAGGAAATGGAGGAAGGAGATAGAAGAACTTAAGGAGAAAGAGAAAAAGAAAAGATGGAGAAAAGGGAAGAGGAGAGAAGATTAAAGTGAAGTTGGAGGAGAAGGAAGAGAGGAAAAGGAGAAGGAGATCGAGGAGGAGTAAGAAGGAGGAGAAGAGGTGAAGGGAGAGGAGGAGAAGGAAAGGAAAAAGTAAAGTGAAAGTTAAAAAGGAAATAAAAAAAAGAAGAAATTGGGGGAGGAAGAGGAGACGAAGTGAAAGAAAGGGAGTGGGAGGACGGAGAAGGAGGAATGTTGTCTTGGGTGCAAGAAAAGTTTTCAACAAGTTCTCACATCCCTTTATGGTGATGAAGGAGAGTTGAGCCGATTTCATATATTCTTTACATTAATCAAAGGCCGTTCCTTCGCTTGATATATCTCGTGGACTAAAAAAGGCGACCGACAGCTTTCCTTTGGATAGCCGTTATGCGTTCGGCTTCACGCTGTAAATCAAGCAGTTGTCAGTTGCGGTGATGGTGTCAGGGTCAGACCTCGCCTCGCTGTTGCACGAGCCGCCAGCGAGTTCAACAGCCGAACTCGCGCTGGGCTCCGGGCGTGGCGGAATCGGAAAACTCTGTGTAAAATCGGCAGGCCTGTAGGTTATTTAAGTAGGGATGTTTGTAATTATAGTAATTATCGATTTCTACAATACTATCTTAAGATAAAAGAAATTAAACGTTCATTATCTTATAAGACAGCACAATAACAATCTGTCAGAATGCTATCGACATCACAAAACAGGAAATCGTTATTAGCTTTGGATATTTCTGACTTTGATCACATGTGCGTCCAGTAACTTTGAATGTCTCCCTCCCTCCGCCCAAGGGAAATGATCCCATGATCATTTTACTTTCTGCTATCCCCGCTTCCCCTTTAATCATATCATTGTAGCTAACATCCGTGTCGTCAAATGGACAGAATTTCCGAAAGTGCGTTGCATCCTATATAAAACTGTTCACCTTCGGATGAACGAGTTTAAAGGGAGCCACAATGGAGCAGCGGCAGTGTGCTCTGCATGTGGACTATGGCGGTTGTACACGCGGAGTTTTTAACGCTGTCTTTGGCCTCTTCTCCTCCCCGTAAAGAAATAATTCTCTTTGTAAACTGTTGGTAAGTTTTTCACAGTCGACAGTGTTAGCGTTGCCGTTCAAGGAAGGGTGTTGCAGGTGCTGGCAGAGGGGAGCTTCAAGATGATTCGGTGCAACAGTGGATGAGTAAATGTGTAGACCGTTATTAGCATGGTGTGGTTGAATCACTGAAGATTTCGTGTTACAGGAAACACAAGAACATATTATTTATCACAACACATTTAATATTACTCTACAGTGAACAACTGTGTACAATCCACTGCATTCTTTTTCAAATAATTTCGTTAAGAGTTATTTTCTGGAGCAAAGAGTAATTGGCGTCTCTCTCCGCCTCCTCCAGGTGACTCGGACGGCGCCGCCAAGTTCCTGAGCCACGTCCCTTATGACGAGACCTATGACCCCGATGAGCTGGACCCCGACATGCCCGACTTCGACGCCGACGTGAAGATTCCGGGGCGTCACTACCCCAAGCTGCCCTACGGACACCCGTTCCACACCCACAACGCAGGGGGCGCCTCCCTCCATGGCCAGTCCTACCAACCCGGACACGCGAGCGGCTCTCAGCAGGCCCACGGTCAGACGGGGCACTGGTTGGGCCAAGGCTACTACCCCGACCAGAGACCCGCCAGCCCAGGGCGCGACCAGGGGTTCCAGTCGGATCACGGCGACGACCAGGACTACTACCAGAACAATCAGCTGTACGACCAGACCCATCGCAATGGCGGCGCGGGGTACGGCCAAGGGACGGGTGGCGGAGGCTGGCGGAAAGACGAGGACGAAGATGATTACAACGACTTCGACGACGACCACGACCCAGAGGAAGACAGCCAAGTGTCAGCCACGCAGATGCCGACAGGCCCGCATTTCGACAGATCGCTCCCTCGCAGCATCACGGTGCAGGCGGGGAAGACGGCGAGGCTTGTGTGTCGCGTCTTCGACATCGGAGAGACATCG